TGCGGAAATAAATTTATCAACTATTTCAGAATTCGTAATTTTACAGTTCTGTTTTAATGTAATCAATAAATGTATATGTGGTAATCCACGTTTTTGAAATTCTATCACATAAACATATGCAAGAACTTCACCAAAAAATTGTTGTCTAACAATAACATCGATTAAATAATCTTTTTTTATATTAAATACGCGAGCACATATATCTGGCCTATCTGCAGGTTGTTGATTTGGATGTAAATTTTCCTTAATTTCGCGCCAATTTGGATTACAAGTCATAGTAAGAAAGATATCTGGTTTTCCATATTTCCGTACAATAGCCATTGCATCTTGATAATGTTGCAACATATTACGCGGTAAACGCACAAATGTTGATGGAAGTATAACCATCTTTCCAATGTGAGCATCATTATTATTAGCAGCGTGTGCTAAATAATCAATCAATCCTTGATAAGTCTCAACTCGCAATTGTTTTTGATTTTGTTTACAATAGTTAATTCGATCTTTTTCAATTTTTACATAACTATCTACAAGCCATTGTTGAAATAATCGTCTTCCCATAACAAATATATTAAAATTATCACGTATAGCTATTCGATATTTTACGTATGTAGCTCTACTTATTCGTTTATTACTATCTTTGCGTTGTAAATTACCATGCCAACCTTGATTACCATATGGATAAAACAATGGATAAATCCATGGTTCTACATTTGGATCCATTGTACTAACTTGTTGTAAAGTTTTATTATTTATGTTATAAATTGTGACATAAGTTTCCGGAATTTCACCATCTGCTGTAGTAGAAAAAACAGCTGCAACTTCATTTACCTTTTGCACATTGTATCGGCCACGATCAATTCCCCTTTTTGTTAGAAATCCCAATTGTAATTCACGTATATTATCAGACGTTTGCTGTTGTACTTGAATTTCTTCGTGCATCATTCGATAAGATTGTGCAAATATATTATTCGTACGCATTATGTTATCTATTAAAAGCAAAATTTCTTCATCAAGATTCGAATTTCGATGTAACCGACACTCTGTTGCTTCATTGTTATCTACAATAAATAGTTGACCATAGCTTGGCATTTCACTTGGTGCAGGATATAACGCAGTATTAATTTGATAATAAACTTGTCCTTGAATTTTAAAACAATAAGGTCCACGTCTTTGCGCACTAAAATTTGATATATTTGCATTAAACGATGCGAATGAAAATGTATTATTATAACCACGAATACAATTGTAAAAATGGTTTGATTTTGGATGATTTCCTGTAAACAGTTTGTAAAGTTCACATGGAGGTTGTGGTAAAGGATCTAACTTAACAGAACCATGACTACAACAATCGTTAAACGAATTGCCTTTATTAGCTACTTTTTCAGAATTAAAATGTTTTGCACTACAATGTTCACAACATACATTCATTTCTCCTATATAATGTTCTGCAACATTTTCTAATTGAATAATTTGAGACATATTAATATCCATGTATCCTTTTTTAAAACTTCGATTTTTTTCATACCACCTTATCTTCTTGTTTTTATTAACATACCTTGATTTCGATCTTATTACGTTATCATCTATTATAATATCCTGTGATGGTACTTCATTTAAAATAATTAAATCGTCAAATCTGTTATCATTCAAATTTATCAATCTATTTGATGTGCTAGGTATGGAAGAAATAATATTGCTATTTAAAGTTTCCAAAGTTGAGTTATGAACGTTTTGAATTATTTCAATATCGTTGTTAACATTAACTAATTTTATACCATTATTTATTTCATTAACTTCATTACTATTTTTTATTATAGAAACATTTGATGTATCAAACGCTTGCGATATAGTGGTAACTGTTTCACTTACTGAATAAACTACTTTCATAGATGAAATGGTTGAAGTATGATAATCTACTACTATATTTTCCGAAAAGCTTGTAGAAGGTTGTGTTATATTTGAACAAATCTCACTAATATTTGAAGAAGATTGACAGTTTTCATTAATTCTTACTCGCTTTGCTTCCCGTCTCTTAGCTTGAGATTGTGCTTTTCTTTCTTATTTATTACGTTGAAATTCTTCTTCTTCTTCAACTGTTCGAATTACTTTTCTTCGAGGCATAATTATTATTAGTTTAATTAAGTTAAGAAAAAATAATACTGCTAACTTTTTTAATACGCCTTGTAAAAAGATATAAATTTTATTTAGTTAAAAATTACAATAATATTGCTTTTAAATATATAAACATTAATTTATAAAAATATATTTTTAAAATCAACTTTAATTTAATTTAGTTACTTTTAATTTAAGTTATAAAGCTAATTTTAATTCAAGTTAAAGCCAATTTTAATTTAAGTCAAAACCAATTTCAATTCAAACCAATGTAAATATTAATTCAAGCTAAAGTAAATTTTAATTTAAGTTAAAAAAAATTTTGATTTAAGTTAAAATTAATTTCAATTCAAGTCCAAGCCAATTTTAATTCAAGTCAAAGCCAGTTTCAATCCAAGTCAAAACCAATTTCAATCCAATTAAAGCCAATTTCAATCCAAGTCAAAGCCAATTTTAATTCAAGTCAAAGTCAATTTCAATCCAAGTCAAAGCCAATTTCAATCCAAATCAAAGTCAATTTCAATCCAATCAAAGCCAATTTCAATCCAAGTTAAAGCCAATTTCAATCCAAGTCAAAGCCAATTTTAATTCAAATCAAAGTCAATTTTAATTCAAGTCTAAACAAATATTAATTCAAGTTAAAACCAATTTCAACTTAAGTCAATTCAATTTCAATTCAAGTTAAAATTAATTTTAATCTAACTCAAATTAATTTTAATTAAAGTTTAACGTTCTAATCGAATCTAATTATAAAAAAATATAAATTAGTTTAATTTAATTAAAAATTATGACTTGTTTTTTAGTATAAATTAAATTATTATTTAATTATGTACGTAATATTGAACTAATAATTTCAATTTATCAAAACTAATTTTAATTTAAATCTAAGCTAGCTTTTTAATTCAAATCAAAGTCAATTATAATTCAAAAATTCAATTTTAATTTTAGTTAAATTTTAATTTTAATTTTAGTTAAATTGAATTTCAATTTTTTAATTAAAATAATATAATAAATAAGCAATCTTTAATACACATTTGCTTAAAAATTAAAAGATATACCTTTCCTTAAATCTTGAGTATACTTATATATTGTCTGAGTAGAGAAGTTACACCTTCGAAAATATCTTGACGAAGAAGCTCAAAAGCTTCCTGTAGCTGAAAAATAAAAAAAAATATATATTAATAATTTTTCATAAAATATTATAAGTACATAAAATATAGATATTATATTTCTACTTTTTTTTATATTAAAAAAAAAAATAAAATTAAGAATATAAAAATTTATGACTCACAAAGAGATTATGATTATTTCAAAGACGTTATGATTATTTCACTAATTTTAATATTTTTGTTCCTTCATAGAGGGAGCTTTATTTTAAAGTAAGCTTTGTTTTGGGTCAAAAATTTTATTTCGAATTTTCACGGATAATGTGTTCATAATGTTTTAAAATAGAGCTTAACACAAAATATACATTTCGACCGATTTTAAGCTGGCTTCGCTTAAGGGGATCCTAAAACCGTCTATAATACCGATATTTATTTGTTCATACTAATTTTTTTATTAGTTTTATGGATTTAAAAATCCTTTTCCAAAGTTAAAACATATTCAAAAATGAAGTCCATGCCGTATAGGCAAGTTATAAACAAAATAATTTTTGTATATCTTAGAATATTTTTTATATTTTAAATTTTGAATAATTATAAAAATATAACATAATCATAAAATAAATAAAATGTTTTTATACCAAAGTATATTTTTATTTTTAACAATTTATGTTTTCTAAATTATTTTAATGTAAAAATACTAAGATATATACATATCACATATATGTATACATACTTTATAAAAATAATTATTCAAATACTTATTTTAAGGTTATTAGATAAAAATGTTTATATTTATTTTGTTTGTAGATTAAATAATATAAATTATAAAAATATGAAAACCATTTCAATTTTATTTATACATACTGTGGCGGTCCACGCCACCAGTAATACATCCCTGCGCAATGCCTGCAATACCGGCAGTTCGCAGCAACGCCGCTAGGCGTCGCATCGCCGGGGCAGCTTCGCGAGTTCTAATTTCTGCACCGACGAGTATAAAGGGGGACCCCCTACGAGCTCGAGCAGATCTTCCCGGCGCTAGTCGCCAAGGTAGCAATAGCGCTAGACGCTAGGCTAACACACGGCGCGAGTCGCCCGGTTGTAGCGCTAGACGCACACCGATAACCCTACGGCGCGAGTCGCCCGGTTCACAGCGCAAGACGCTGACCGAGACCTCACGGCGCGAGTCGCCCGGCTACAGCGCAAGACGCTAGCCAATACCACGGCGCGAGTCGCCCGGTTCACAGCGCAAGACGCTGACCGAAATCTCACGGCGCGAGTCGCCCGGCTACAGCGCAAGATGCTTGCCGATATCTCACGACGCGAGTCGCCCGGCTACAGCGCAAAACGCTTGCCGATCCTTACGGCGCTTGGTCGCCTGGCACAGGCGCGAGACGCCCGCCAACCTATGGCGCTTGGTCGCCCAGCTCTTTGTTTCAGGTCTCACACGGACTGCTACACACGACCAACCACGTGTGACCACCCGATCCTGGCGTCCCTCGTCGCGGTACAGATTATGGCAGAGACAGAATACAAGGCAAATTAGTCAAAAACACTTACACGCAAACACTTGTAAATAGTCTGTAAATATAACGTTCTAAACATATATTGGAAAGTGTCGCCTACATTTCTAGCCTCCTTTGCGATTCACAAACCTTGGGCCAACTCCTACTCACTCACCAGTAGCAGACTAAGTTAGATATAAGGTAGAATACCTCTCTGAATAAAAGTAGTAGCGCCCATAAAATTGGTGACCCCGACGTGATCGCAAAGAGAGGTAGCAACATGAACGATCCCAACGCATCAATACAGATCGTCGAGGAAAGCGTCAGCAGACTCGCCGTACGCATACCTCCGTTTTGGGGAGATGAGCCTGAGCTATGGTTCGCACAGCTGGAAACGCAGTTCACCATCAGTGGCATCACCCAAGACTCGACGAAATACTCATACGCTCTGTCTCAGTTAGACTCTCGTCAAATCAAGGAAATTAAAGACGTGGTCACACAGCCCCCAGAGGTTAACAAATACGAGACTGTAAAAAGAGCGCTCATACAGCGCATGTCCGTCTCGCAGCAGCAGCGGACACGACAGCTCTTGGAGCTCGAGGAATTAGGAGATCGCAAGCCATCTCAATTCTTACGACATCTCCGAACTCTAGCGGGTGAGAATGTACCCGACTCTCTTCTACGGACACTATGGCTAGGACGACTTCCTACGCAAATGCAGATGGTTCTCGCTACCCGGACGGAAGATCCGCTCAACAGCGTAGCCGAACAGGCCGATCGCATTCACGAGATGACAAGCAAGGCTGTAGTAGCTGCAACAGCTACGCCAGCGAATAAAGAGTCTTTGGAAGCAAGAATCCAGACTCTGACCAAGCAAGTGGCCACACTTACTACACGCCTCTCGAGAGACAACTCGAGGCAACGTAACAATTGGAAAGGCCGTAATCGAAGTCGAAGCCGTAGTCAGAGCCGCAACCGCGGTAAAAACACAGAGGATAAGGACGATAAGAATAACAAGCACTGCTATTACTATAATCGATTTGGTGAGAAAGCAAGAAAGTGCACACAACCATGTACATATAAATCGGAAAAAGACCAGGGCAGTCACTGATGGCGGCCAGTAGACACGCCCCAAGCCCGCGCCGCCTAATCGTTACGTGCCATGACACTAAGAGACGGTTCCTGATAGACACAGGATCGGATGTGAGTGTATACCCTCGCTTCATGGTAGCAGGACACACCACGCCAACATCTTATGAACTCTATGCAGCAAACGGCTCAACAATCACTACGTACGGCACAATTACACTGCAGCCGGAAATTGGGTTACGACGCGCATTCCCATGGCGTTTCATTATCGCCAACGTCACGCAGCCCATCATCGGAGCCGACTTCCTTGCTTATTACCATATCCTGCCAGACCTACAGAAAGGCACTCTGCTCGATGGTAAAACATACTTGCGCAAACGCGGCACATCAGAAAAAGGGGCAGTGGAGTCTATCAGAGTGTTGGCTATTGAAGACGAATACCACTACAGAATCTTGGCAGAATTTCCTGATATCTTAAAGGCTACTGCTAAGAGGCATACGGTAAAACATAGCACGCTCCACCACATCAAAACCACGGATGGCCCACCAGTTGCAAGCCGTCCTCGCCGGTTAGCCCCCGACAAACTCAAGGCGGCCAAGGCTGAATTCGATCTCTTACTCCAAGAAGGGATCATTCGAGTGTCGAAAAGCCCATGGTCATCACCACTACATATGGTGCCGAAGAAAAGCGACTCCTGGAGATCTTGCGGAGATTACAGGGGAGTTAACGCTAGAACAGAGCCGGATCAGTACCCGATCCCGCATATCGAAGACTTCTCGCAGAACTTGCACGGAAAGAAGATCTTCTCGACAATTGATTTAGTGCGAGCATACAATCAAATACCCGTCAACCCGGAGGATATTCCAAAAACGGCTATAACAACTCCTTTTGGACTCTTCGAATACCTTTATATGCCGTTCGGGCTACGCAATGCCGCACAAACCTTCCAACGCTTCATTCACGAAATTACAAGCGACTTGGATTTTGCCTATGCGTATATTGACGACATCCTCATCGCATCAGAAAACGAGGAACAACACAAGAAGCATTTACGCATACTCTTCGAACGACTCCAGAAATACGGCATTCTACTCAACCCTTCCAAATGCGTTTTCGGAAGGCCAAAAGTTCTTTTTCTTGGTTACGAGGTTTCAGAGAACGGTACTCAACCTCCGCCAGAAAGAATAGCAGCAATCAAGGAGTTTCCCAAACCTGAGAACATTCAACAGCTTCGGCGGTTCCTGGGGACTCTCAATTTTTATCGCAGATTTATTCCAAAGGCCGCTAAGGACCAGTCAATTTTAAACGGCTTACTCAGCGGTACCAAAACCAAAAAGAAGGCTCCCATAACATGGAACGCAGAACTGGAAGCAGCCTTCGCAAACTGTAAGAACAGTCTGTCTCGCGCAACTCAGCTGGCACACCCAAAGCCAGAGGCAGACGTCACTCTTACAACCGACGCTTCCGATACAGCTATCGGAGCAGTCATACAACAACGGGACGGAACAGAGTGGCAACCATTAGCCTTCTTCAGTAAAAAGCTGAATCCGGCCCAGCAAAAGTATAGCCCCTACGATAGAGAGCTTCTAGCGATCTACGCCGCTATTAAGCACTACCGGCACATGCTGGAAGGAAGGATCTTCACGGTGTTCACCGATCACAAGCCGATCACATACGCCTTTCGACAAGATCCACTCCACAGCTCTCCTAGGCAGGCACGACATTTACAATACATCGGGCAGTTTACAACCGATATACGTCATATCGCGGGTAAAGACAACATAGTCGCTGATACTCTCTCACGAGTAGAGGAGATTCAGTCCGCAATCAACCTAGAGAAACTATCACAAGCTCAAGAGGAGGATACCGAGGTGGAAGACATCTTAAAAGGGAACTCTTCACTGAGATTGACAAAGGTATCAATCCCTGGAACCAGCGCAGCATTGTATTGTGACACATCAACAGCAATAGCACGTCCCTTCGTTACAAAAGAGTACAGGAGACAAGTGTTTCAATCACTGCACAGTCTATCGCATCCAGGAACCAGAGCGACGGCAAAGATAGTCGCACAGAGGTATGTCTGGCCACGCATTAAGGCCGACTGCCAAGAATGGGCTAGAGCATGTCCCGCGTGCCAAAAAGCAAAAGTCCACAGGCACAACAAATCGCCTTTAGGACAATTCATTGGCCCTACCAAACGGTTCGAACATATTACACATGGACCTCGTTGGGCCTCTACCTATCTCGAAAGGTTTCAGATACTGCCTCACAATCATTGACCGGTTTACCAAATGGCCTGAAGCTATACCGGTGGCAGATATATCCGCAGAGACAGTAGCCCAGAATCTCTTCAATCACTGGATCGCAAGATTTGGTACACCTACGCGGGTCACTACGGATCAGGGAGGGCAATTTGAGGCCGACCTGTTTTGTCAGCTTACTAGGCTAACAGGCACCACGCACATACATACAACAGCCTATCACCCCGCAGCTAACGGCATGGTCGAACGTTTGCACCGTCAAATTAAAACGGCCATCAAATGCCACGAAACCAAAGCTTGGACGGAAGTATTACCCGTTGTCATGATGGGCATCTGAGCAGCAGTTAAGGAAGATCTCCACGCAACTCCGGCAGAACTTGTGTACGGAGAAACTATGAGACTTCCAGGAGAGTTTCTACAAGAAACTACACAACCGAACGAAACGAGCGACTTCTTACTAAGGCTCAGAAAGACAATGGAAAGTCTACGGCCACAGCCAATCAAAAGGCACGGTTCGCCTGCTATCTTCCAGCACAGAGACCTGACAGACGCAACACACGTGTTCCTCAGGCACGACGCACCAACGCGGGCGCTACAACCCACTTTTGACGGCCCTTACGAAGTCCTTAGCAAAGGCGAGAAGGTTTACAAGTTACGGATTAACGGCAAAACCGTCCACGTAACTATCGACCGCCTTAAGCCTGCCTACATATTGGCAGATCAAGAATCAAGCGACAAACCTCGGGAGACACATCAGCCAGCACAGGATACTCCAACAGACATTCCACCTAAGAAAACTACAACGCGGAGTGGCAGAGTGTCACGAAAAACAGTACGTTTTCAAATCCCGACTTCAAAACAACGAAGGGGGTGATGTGGCGGTCCACGCCACCAGTAATACATCCCTGCGCGATGCCTGCAATACCGGCAGTTCGCAGCAACGCCGCTAGGCGTCGCATCGCCGGGGCAGCTTCGCGAGTTCTAATTTCTGCACCGACGAGTATAAAGGGGGACCCCCTACGAGCTCGAGCAGATCTTCCCGGCGCTAGTCGCCAAGGTAGCAATAGCGCTAGACGCTAGGCTAACACACGGCGCGAGTCGCCCGGTTGTAGCGCTAGACGCACACCGATAACCCTATACGGCGCGAGTCGCCCGGTTCACAGCGCAAGACGCTGACCGAGACCTCACGGCGCGAGTCGCCCGGCTACAGCGCAAGACGCTAGCCAATACCTTGATGTAAAAAGAAATGTGTTTCATTCCCGAGATGCGCAGTGGTCTAAAATAATGGCTGCCTTCTGACCAATCAAAAAGCCTCCCCAAATGTAAAAAGCAACATGGCTACTTCCGTGATATGTAAGAGGTTAGATTGTTAGCCGCCGCATGAGCGGATTCTCGCTTAGATCCAACCGGCGATCCAACGACTCCGAGAACGTGACGAAGGCGTTGTCGCGCAGTATCAGATGCCTCAAATTCGGCAAGCCGGCCAGAGAACCGTCCTCCACAAACCGTCCTCCACCAATAGTTCGCAATTGGTTGTCGTTGAGATACCCAGAGTGTGCCCAACTTTTGAAACGCGCCTGGCTCCACCGTGCCTTCGGCCACAAGGGGAAGTGATCCGCGTAGTTTCTTGGGCCCAACGAATCTACGGCTACTACGATAAGAGGTTTGTCTTGACCATCTTGAAATGTGCCAAGTTATTATTAATAAGCTACATACTATATTTTGTTTACAGAAACTAGATTGTTAGCCGCCGCATGTGCCTTCAGCCTTCCTTTCTGTCTATGCTAAATGATAATGAGTTACGGGTTTTACTGGATGAAGCTATAACATACAAATGTCCGAAAGATCGGGAAGGAAAGTCTAATCTTTTTAAAGTACGTACGGGCTTTGAAATATTATGTATTGAACATAAAAATGCTATTGTGTTAAGATGTATAGATTGATATGTGTGCTTTGTAGGAACTTTTGCAAGAGGCAGAAGCGGACAAGACTGAGGAAGGCCGTAGAGTGATATCTAATTCACGCTGTCTTCCGGGTTCAAATCGCAGGAGGCATAAACGGGAGTCTGTGTCCGAGCGTTTGACACATGGCGGATCATTGCAGAATTTAGCGCAGCCTATAGCTTCGGAATTCAATAGTAGTTTTGCTTATCTGACGTTTAGTTCGTGTCATACTTACGGAAGTAGTAGGAGAAAGAATAAAAAATACACAAGACTCAGTGTCTCTGCTAGACAGAGAGAAGGTGGATCATTACCGTCAAATGTAAATGCATCGCATAACCTTGCTTCTTTGGCTAATTTAGATCTAACATTCGATAAGAAGGTATTTATCATTAGAGTTAATAATAATATTCATAAATATAAATGTCCTTGTTTTATTAGTGCATGTAATGAATTATATAAAAAATTTCTTTGAAAGACATTTTATCGTCATAATATTGTAACTTTGATGAGAATGTAAGCAACACATTGGAAATTTTCTTATCTGTTTGTGAAGAAGAGCTTCTACGAGGAACGGTCAGCTTATGATTGGACCAATAAGGAAAAATCCAAGTCTCTAGACAAACCATCGTACACCAGTTTACCGCGCAGTTTCTTGGGCCCAACGAATCTACGGCTACTACGATAAGAGGTTTGTCCTGGCCATCTTTAAATGTGCCAACTTATTATTAGTAAGCTACATATTATATTTTGTTTACAGAAACAATGCCATCGTGTTCCATAAAAAATTGCAAAAATCGAACATGCGACGGAGATGCAAGAGGAATAACCTTTTTTAGATTTCCGAAAGAAATTCCAATTCGTAAGCAATGGCTTAATGCTTGTCAACAAACTGAGACAAGTTTGAAAGTTGATTCAGGTAAGTTGCTGTAATAAATGTATTTCCCCTTATTATCCTAAATATATTATCATTTATGAACTCATGTTTGATAAGACTTTGATTTGTTTTTGGACATACTATCCAGGTAGCAAGCACTCGTCATTTTGACGTCAAAATGACGGACTTTTGACGTCAATTGACGTCAAAATGACGAGTGCTTGCTACCTGGGTAAATTTCCTTAAAATATTTTAATTTTTTTTTTAACACCCTGTGTAAACTATACATATTGTAATAAGTATATTATGATACAATTTTAGCAAGAATATGCAGTGACCATTTTGATACAAATTGTTTCATAATGGAATTCACAAAACCGAGGTCAAAAAATACACTTGCCAAAGAAGTACGACGATTAAAAAAAGGTTCTGTCCCATGTAAAATGTTAAAACTATGTGCAGGAATAAAAAGAAAAAGAATGTCGCAAAATGAAAAAGATAACGAAAATAATAAAAAGATAAAAAGAAATAACGTATTGTAAGTATTTTCTACATTTTTTAATATATTAATATTTATACATGTATGTATGTAAATAAAAAGTAATTTTTTCATATTTTTCCAGAATAAAAACTGGTATACCTACGTATGCAGAACTTGTGCAGTATGCAAAAGAGAAACAGGAACTAGACATGTATGTAGCTGTATATCTTTATAAGCTTTCTCTATATACATATGTATACACACACACACACACACACACACACAAGCACTATAATTTATATAAAAATGTTTTGTATGTTACAGAAATAAAGAGATTAGCAACAATAGTTCAACGAAAACATTACTGATAGAGCTTCGAAACTCTGAGATAGACAAGCAACAATTATTTGAAGAAAATCAAAATCAAAATATTGAAAAAGACAATATAAATGTTGAAGAAGAAACACAAAATATGACACGGGAATATCTTGAAAATATCGAACAAAATGATACAATAGAACTAGATATGTACGTACCTATACATCTTTATTATAAGTTTTTCCCTATTATACTTAATACATTTATATGTATATACATTTTATATAAAAATGTTTTGTATTTTACAGAAATGAAGAGATTAACATGGACAACAATGCGAGTTCAATGGAAACATTAGTAATGCAGCTTCGAAACAGTGAGGAAGAAAAGCAACAATTATTTGAAGAAAAACAACAATTACTTGAAGAAAATCAAAATCTTGAACAAAAAAACGAACAATTAAATAAACAAATATCACAGTTGCAAGCTGAAGTTACAAAAATAATGAAGAATAAACAGAAAGAAGCCGAAGCAATAGCAACCAATGCTTTGAGTAAAGTATTTACACCAGGTCAAATTTCAATATTAATGTCGACACAAAACCGCGTACATTGGTCGCATGAAGACATCATGTCTGCCATTTCTTTACGCTCGTTAAGTCCAAAAGCATATAAATATTTAAGGAATGTTAAAAAGGTACCATTGCCGTGTCTAACAACTTTGCACAATTGGGTAGCTAAGTTTACAGTTTTACCTGGGATTTTAAATGAGGTTCTAAACATTATGTCAAGTAAAGGACACAATCTTTCAACAGTAGAGAAAATAACTGTTTTAACATTCGACGATGTATATATTTCAAATAAGTTAGACATTGACAGAAAGCAACAAAAAGTTTATGGGCCTCATAAGACTTGTCTGTTTATCATGGCTCGAGGTTTATTCAAGAATTGGAGGCAACCAGTTTATTATAATTTTGATGTATCAATGTCCCGTGATATTTTATTTACTGTCATACAAGAGCTATATAAAATAGATTACACTGTTATTGCTGTTACGTGCGATATGGGTTCAAGCAATATGAAGTTGTGGAAAGATTGTAATATCGGAGTTGAAGATTATAGTCATTCCAGGGATAAAATCACAACAAATATCGAGAAACAATGTTTCATTACGCATCCCGCAAACAACTCCCTAAAAATATTTTTTTATGCAGACGTTCCGCACCTTTTGAAATTAGCAAGAAACAATTTGCTAGATTCTGGATTTAAAATTAAAGAAAACTTTGTGGACAAAACATGTTTAGAACAACTACTAACGTTGAATAATGGTGATTTGAAAATATGTCACAAATTAAGTACACTACATCTTGATGCGAGAGGCACGCAACGACAAAACGTGAAACTAGCAGCTCAAGTTTTCTCAAATAAAAATGCACTAGCCATTAAATGGTGTGGAGAAAATGGTCTTCTTGGCAATACACAATGGAAACATACATCCGAGATATTAAAACTTTTCAATGATTGGTTTGATGTCTTCAACAGCAAATTTAAATATGACAAATGTGGCGTATCAAATGCCTATGGCATTAACGTAGAAGAACAAAATAAGATTATTAGTAATATGAACGAATTTATGATGGAAATGCGAGTTGGGCAAAGAAAGAGTTTATTGCAATTCCAGAAAGGAATTTTATTATGTAACAGATCGCTGCAAGAAATGTTTGCACATTTACAAGAGAAGTACTCATCTGAAATGTTTGACGTAAAATATGTGTTAACGAGAAGATTAAATCAGGACATTCTAGAAAACTTCTTTTCCTACATAAGATCCATGGGAAGTGGATATGATCATCCCACACCCGTAGAAGTAAAAAATCGTTTGAAATGGTATATCCTTGGAAAACACTCAGAACATGTATTTTCTGTACGAAAAAATACTGAAGGAGATGGTAGTTGTGAATCGTTAATTACTATAAGTGATGTACATAGTCCAGATTCTGTTTATCCAGCAGACCGATTGTCTGATGAAGAAGAAGATATATTACTTAGTAATACCCCACAAGTCGGACAAAATGTCGATACGACAATTAGGGAGGAAATATATAATCATAACATACCAGAAGAAACTGGAGAAGGTATGAAAAAAATTGAAACTTTTTTGTAAATACTTGTGTAACTTCCCATCGTATTATATTAATCATTGTATTGTATTAAAAAAGATTCGCCGCCGGTCTCATTATGTTCATGTATATAGTTGTCCTTAACTTTATACATCTATGTATAAAGTTAATGATAAATAGCGAAATTACTGATAAAATTGAGATATATTATCAATGTACCAATTATTCATTTTTCTAGTGCAAAATTTAAGTAATTATGAGCCTAGTTGTCATGAAATACAATTACTTGAAGATTTTGAACAAATCACTAATCAAGAGATAGTAGAAAAGAATGCACTTTTATATATAACCGGTTATGTAGCTCATAGATTCCGAAATCGCTATACTAACTTAGGAATTTCAACAAAGTCTTTACCCAATCCACCTAATGATTGGCTTTGTACAATATCAAGAGGAAACTGCATGTATCCATCCGCAGACTTCTTAAAAGCAGCTGAAGTCATGGATACAGAATTTGTAAAATTCCATGGTGATTCTTTTAGCACTGAAAATAAGATCTTTGAAAAATTAACTGACATTGTATCAATAAAAACAAATAATATTTTTCCTAAGGAAGTTATTGCGTGTTTAGTTCGCACGAGAACTTATATAAGACTGAGAAAACTTAACAAAGAGATAGTAGAAAATAACATACGTAAGAAAAAATAAAAAAAAATATATAAACTGTCTAATAAAGAAAATGTTGATAAAAATAAAATAACGTTATAAAATATAAATGCATTTATTTATTTGTTATTATTATATTATATACTAACATCTATATACTTACTTTTACATACTTATTTTTTATGAATAGCACGGCTTCTAAAACTTAGAGCGGTCTACATAGTCCGATCTTATATTTAATATTATCATAGGTTTATATTAATAAGGCATTGCAACGGCCATTGTATCAATAACAGCATTTTATAACGTAACTAATGGTTCAATGAAGAAAATTTGTTTTCGAAAAAGAAATTCTTATTTCGTCGGCTGCGTTCCGACATCCGACTACGGCTGCGGTCCACTTGATGCTACAAATGCTTCGAAGCATTCCTCTTCTCTTTTCTTTCAATGAAGAAAGAAGGAGAAGAAGAACGCTCCAAAGCATTTGTAGCGTCAAGTGGACCGCTGCCTACGACATACGACTGATTGTAGAACCGGCCTAATCAATCTAGGTTAATGATTTTATCATTTCAAATTATATCACGTATTTTTATTTACGTAGTCTTTTATTACTTTAAAAATTTTTAATTTTGTTTGTATTTTTTTTACATTTACAACTTTTCTTTACATTTTTTCCAATACTGCATTAGAATTTCGCGCTACATTTGGGGAGTGAATTTGATTGGGTGCTCCGTATTTGGCCGCCATTATGCGCAATGAAACACCTTTCTTTTTACATCATGGCCAATACCACGGCGCGAGTCGCCCGGTTCACAGCGCAAGACGCTGACCGAAATCTCACGGCGCGAGTCGCCCGGCTACAGCGCAAGACGCTTGCCGATATCTCACGACGCGAGTCGCCCGGCTACAGCGCAAAACGCTTGCCGATCCTTACGGCGCTTGGTCGCCTGGCACAGGCGCGAGACGCCCGCCAACCTATGGCGCTTGGTCGCCCAGCTCTTTGTTTCAGGTCTCACACGGACTGCTACACACGACCAACCACGTGTGACCACCCGATCCTGGCGTCCCTCGTCGCGGTACAGATTATGGCAGAGACAGAATACAAGGCAAATTAGTCAAAAACACTTACACGCAAACACTTGTAAATAGTCTGTAAATATAACGTTCTAAACATATATTGGAAAGTGTCGCCTACATTTCTAGCCTCCTTTGCGATTCACAAACCTTGGGCCAACTCCTACTCACTCACCAGTAGCAGACTAAGTTAGATATAAGGTAGAATACCTCTCTGAATAAAAGTAGTAGCGCCCATACATACCATACATTTGATAAATAGATGTTTTAAATAATTATCTTCATAAACGTACATATATATGTGTTTTAATATTAATGTATGTGTATTATAAAGAAAAGTGGGAGTAAATTTTTAAATGATAATTATTTAGTGTTATATAAGAAAAATTTGACTATTATAATTACGTTGATTAATATATATCAAAGTTACTACATTATGATAACACAATTTGATTTACTCAATGTTTTTTTAAAAATATCTAGCGTTATTTTATAGTGTAAATTATATCTTAACAACAGGATATATTGCAGCAATATTGCCATATTGAGCATGTACAATATTTCACAACTATAAAATTTAATGAGTATGCGAACAACTTAATTTGTGAATATAGTAACAAATAAAGTTGCGCAGTATTTTAAAAACGTAAATTATCATTTTGCTACTTACCGACATCATAAAATTTTGAAATTAAATTAAAAAAAACGAGACATGAGCGACGATTTTCCTTCTCAGAATGTATTTTACACACAAAAATAAATTATTTTACTAAAGGACCCCGCGGAATTCTTATGGAAAGTGGCTTTCGGTCAAATGTTTCGAAACTTTGCAAAAAGATAGTTCTTAACATGTAGATTAAAAGTGTCAATGGGCATGAAGCTCAAAAAATTCGAGATTTTGAGCTACAGCCATCCAAAGTGGTAGATTTTTGAATTTCTGCAGCATATTCCGAAGTTCGGCAACGGTAGCTTATCTTAGTTGGGTGAGGTTTTACAAAAAATGGTAAATACAAAAGTTTTGTATTAGATTCGAGGCTCCTTTTTTTAAGGCTCTTTTTTCACTTTAAGACCCATCGCCTGTTTGGGGCCCATTGCCTATTTGGGACCCTACACATGTAGCCTATGGTGCATCCGGCCAGCTAAGACAAGACTGTGGGGCGTCCGGCCAGCTAAGACAAGACTGTGGGGCGCCCGGCCAGCTAAGACAAGACTGTGGGGCGCCCGGCCAGCTAAGACAAGACTGTGGGGCGTCCGGCCAGCTAAGACAA